ACACACACACACACACACACACACACACACACACACACACACACACATTTTTATAATATTACCATTATTTTTCCTCTGAAGTTACAAAAAATGAGAGGAAACAGTATAGTAAATAAAGAACTGGCTTTATATTCAGGAAGATCTGAGCTCAAGTGTATTGCATTTTATACATAGTTATACAATTATGGACAAGTTACTAAACTACTTATTGCTCCAGTAAGCAAGTGAACAGGACTCTTATTACAAACCAGTTGTTTGCTTGAATTGATGGATTAAGTTTGATTACCAGGATTTCCCCACTGCAATGAAATTCCACACCCCTCTCCAAAAAAGCAGCAAATGCTACTGGATCTCCTTTCAATTTTGACTGTGTTCATCTGGAAAGGGGCACTAAAAAATGACTGGGAAATAGAAACCTCCCAATCAAGTCAAATGCTACAGTCACAGCTAATTCCACTTAAAGTGACCTGGTATTAAAGGAAATAAGGCAAGAAATTAAGACTTGAAATTCACAATCTGATTCTAAGTCATTCTAAAGGAATTTACCTTGAACATTTCTCATTTCAGATTTTAAATCCAAAGCTACTTTAAAAGAAAACTGTACTTTTCACCCTATTAAATGAAGTTTATCTAAAAGGGACATTTCTAACATGATTACTAAAAAGGAAGGGGAAAGGCTCTACAACACGACCATAGGTACAAATGATTCTAGGGTCTCTGCATGTCAAAAACCAGATGTGGCTAAGTACTGGCTTGGCAAAATAAATAAATAAATGAATGAATAAATGAATGAATGAATAACTGAATGAATAAAATCTACCACCATCCCAAAACAAAGTTGTATAATGAGGGTTCTGAGAAAATTAAGACTTTGCTTGTAATTTATATGCAGAAGATATACAGAACAAACAGACCAGCTTACTACTGCTGATGTTTACGTTATGTTCCTTTATGGCTTAATAGCAGCAATTAGCTCTAACCTCTGGTTAGAGTCTTTTTCTGCCAGTGAGAAGTTGATTCTGAAGTCAGGACTTGGCTTATTGATAAATTTTAGATTATATACTAAAGTTCTAAGTTGACTCCATTTTAGAAAGGATATTTTCTAATTTAAAAGACTGACTTCTTTGCCATGACACATCATAACAAAAATCCAGTAATACCTTTGGCAATTTGGTACAAATGTTAATTTTTATACACAAGAATAATTTTTGAGTAAAAACTATATCAATACAACTAAAATGTTTATATAACAATTAAAGACAGTTGCTAAACTAATTTTATAAACTTTAAGTATCTTATTATATTCAAATATAAAATTTAAAAACAAACTAATAATAATGGGTAATTGCCAAAAAATTAAAAATTTCAACAGAAAATTCAAACATCTGTAAATCTCTCATGAAATGCTTTATTGAAATCCAAAATAATAATACGCAAAATCTTACCTGTAAGGCCTCCTGTTTATTATAGAATTCATTATTATCAGGTGGTTTGATGAGGTAGCAATGGTTACAACACTTTTTGAGCTCCATCATTATATTCAAAAAGCCTGAGGTACTGCCCTTTGAACCTTTGCTAAGGGCTTTGTAATTCCTGGTTAAAATCCATCTAAAACAAAAATCATAGATGTAGCATGTTCACTAGAAAACAAACATACATTTGTGAAATCTTAAGGAATTCATAGCACAACCTAGCTTACTACAGTAGAATTCCTCAATGGTGCTATTTTATGTTTCTTTGTTTTCATTCTGGATTTATGCTTTCATCGATATACAGAGCTCTTGTGGAAAATCTCTCTGCTTAAGTAGACATCGAATTATATTCCCCAAAACACCACTGACCCCATTAAAAGATGTTAAGCCTAAAAAGTCAGTTAATTTTCTACCCTAAGTTCTAAAGGAGTTTCAATACACTGAACAAGTAATCATTTTAACACTCTACAGACCAGCCAAATTGGCCTTAATGTTGTTCCTCATCTAAGACATTTCAACTAACTTTCTCTCTGTTTTTGCATAGGCTATCCCCATTCCTGGAACACACTGCCTCTTCACCTCTACACCACAGTTTCCTTCAAATGTCATGCCCTATAACACTCCTCTCTTGATCCCCCTTTTTTTGCTCTTGACCCAGGAATTACTTTGTATACCTTTTGCATTTATTTTTCTATATATGTGTGGCTGTTCCCTGAAAGGACTTTCATTTTTGTCTCTGTATTCTCAGCACCAAGGAAAGTGCTTTGCAAATACTAAAATTTGGTAGATTTGTGTTCTCATTAATACTGAAATTCATTATTACAACTCATTCATGCCTGCCTACATAGATCTTGTCCATGTCTTCAGCTAAGTTAGCTATAGGAAGTCAAAGCCACTATGCTGAAGACATTCCTCAATTTCTCTGGATATAACAAGGATAATAGTGAAGCACATGGGCTGACAACTGTTAACCCTGGTCCTCATTATGTGAAAGAGCCATCTTCTCTATATAATTTAATTTTCCATAGAGACATCTTTTACTTCTGCTCTTTCAGGTTCTTCATTGGATATGTTTTGCAGCCTCCTCAGATGCCTCTCCACTGCCCTCTATGTGATACTCATTTTTACTTCTTCACTGGTAGAATGCCTGTACAAAAAACATAGGCCACCTTTGCTTTCATGGGAAGCCCGGGATGACTGAAGGAGCTTTGCAATTCTCTAAAGGTAATCCAACAAATTCTCCTTTTATTCAACTCTGGTATCAACTTGTTGTCAATCTATAATTTGTCTGAAAAATGTATACTAATATACCAGCTCTACCAAATAAAGGCTGCCAGCTGGAAAATAAGACATTCTCTATCCATAAGGATGGTCAGGTCAAACTCCTTTGAATGATTACAGATCTCTTCTAGGAAGCTCTGCAATACTGTGGGACTTGATAAAATCAATACAATGTCTCCCTCAAATAAGAGCAACTGGAGTCTCAACAAGAGACCTCCTAATTCACAAGGAATCCCTTATCAACTTGTACTCTGAGCTGGATCTCTTCCATCACAATGAACACATAGGTTACATGTACATTTTCCTTATCTTATGCCTAGCCTGATGTTTATAATAATAGGATTTTTTTCTGTTGTTATATCTTGAATCAAGGAATGTGGAATGATTTTGTTCTGGCACATAGTAGGTATTTAATTAGTGCTTGCTGAAACGAAATAAAAAACCTTACTGCTGAAAAACAAATTTAATTAAATTGTGATGTAAATGATAAATTCCTCCTAAAACTAGGTAAGGACCTCAAGAGATCACCTTATTCAACTGTTTACTTTGGAAAAAGTGAATGACTAAGCTAGAGGGCATGTAGTTATTAACGGTGCTATTTTAATCCCTACAATATGGATGTTAGTATATTTTGACCAGAACACAAAGTACATCAAGAGATTCAATAAGACTTGGAAAGGTAGGCTGGAGTCATATTGTATACGGCTTGAAATCCCAAGTTAAGAAGTCAAGATTGAATTTATGCTACCAATGGGAAACCACTGAAGGTTATAATAACTGGGGAGTAACATAGACTAAATCCAAAATATAGGGCAAATAAATTCTTCTTGAGGATCTCTGAGGATAACTGTTTCAAACATATCTTGCGGATACATTACTGATTGTTGTGATACTTGCTGTTCAAAAGGTCATCCCTTATGTCCAATAAACTCAGCACAAGAGAAAACTTTTTTACTAATCCATAACTATACATTATTGAGGCAGCTAGGTGGTGAAGTGGATAGAGAACTGGGCTTGAGTTCATATCTAGCCTCAAAACCCTACTAGCTGTGTGATCCTGGGCAAAAAGATCCTGTGTGATCTTTGCCTCAGTTCCTCATCTGTAAAACGGCAAACAATTCTAGTATTTTTCCACAAAAACCCCAAATGGGGACATGAAGAGTTGGAGATAACTAAAATGACTGACCCGCAGCAATACACTGCTTAAACAATTCAAGAATCAAACTGGTTTTTACATACAAAAAAGTTGAGAATGTGTTGTGGGTGATGTAACTTACTTATAATATTGCTTCTGCAACGCACTCATTTCCATTCTTAAAATCTGCTCAACTTTGGCAGGCAGAGATTTTTCTACATCTTTCTTAACTCGGCGTAACAGAAAAGGCTCAAGTTCCTTGTGCAGACTTGCATACCCATATTCTCTCCCTTTGCCATGTTCCTCTTCAAAATCTTCCCAGGAAGAAAATCTTAAAAACATGATTAGACTCATTATTGAAGGAAATAAAAACTTTGGTTTAAAGTAAATCATTAAAAATATAGTTTTTACAAAAGTAATAGACATAAATGAATGTAATAACATATCTCAAACTTTGAATTCCATACTACTCCAGAAAAATCCTCCCACCCCAAAGAAATCCAATACAGAATACCTTGTGAGTCAAGGTGAATTTAAATCATTAATTAATTTCAGAAAGTCTTTAAAAAAAAAAAAAACAAGAAATATATCTGAACGTTGCATTCACTGTAAAAGCTTTAAAAGTGTTTTCATTATTTTCAGACTTTAGTCAGTGTTTAATCACTAAATTAAAACATTTCCCTTTACATGTTTCTTACAGAAATAAGTTCTGGGGCCTTACCATTAAGTACTACAATTAAGTGTAAACCTTCTTCCCTTTCATATTGCACATAGAAAAAAAAATTTTAACACCCAGAATGAAATCTCATTCTCATAGTTGGCTTACTTTTCTGGCATGATGAAGTGGAGCAAAGACCAGAGCTCTTTGAGGGAATTTTGTAGAGGGGTTCCGGTAATAAGAAGACGATGATTGGATTTAAAGTCTATTAAGGTCTTATATAAAAGGGAGTCGTCATTCTTTAATCGATGAGCTTCATCTACACCTATGAATGCCCAATTCAGGCCACCAAGGAATGCCTTAAATATGAAATTACATATTTCAGTTAGAAGGTATCACTTAAACTTTTAAATGCAAAATAGAAATTTAATTTAATTTTCCTAACTACTTTCCCAGAATTTACAACTAAGGCAGAATAACATGATTATGAATAAGTGTAAAGTTAATTAAATATTAACTACACCAGACATTTTCTACAGACGAGTGAACACAGGATCTTCTTAGATCAATGACTGGAAGGGATCTTAGAGGCCATGTAGGCTAATACTCTCCTTTTCCATGAGGAAAACTGAGAATCAGGTAAGTTAAGTGATTTGTCTGAAATAGCACAGGTAGTAATAGCAGGCAGCGAAACCAGGATTCTAATCAGCGTCCTCTGAGTCCAGAACCTATGTTATTTTCACTGTAGCATGCTGATTCCTTGGGCAAGTTATATTTCTACTAGTAGGTACTAACTTAGTGGGTATAAGCTAGGGAATATGATCCAGGGTCTATATTCAGGGGTACATCAGACTATGCTGTTTTTCTATCCCTTTTCTTATCTGTGTAGTTATTGAGGATTTTAGGAATATTTATTCTCAAACTTTTCCCCAACCACGAATAACCACCACCACCACCACCACAACTAGCATTTTTATAGCACTTTAAGGTTTCTAAAGCACTTTACATATATCATCTGTTTCATCTGATCCTCACAACAAATCTATGAGACAGGTGCTATTATTATCTCAGTTCTACAGAAAATGAGAGCATGAAATAAAATCTCCATTAGATGACTTGCCTAGGGTCATACCATTAGTGTTGAAGGTGGTATTTGAATTCAGGTCTTCCTCACTTGGAGTCAGGCATTCTATCCACTATGCCACCTAAGTGCTTTTAATTTTTTCACCTTATCTTTACTGGTGGTATTGTTGTCATAATGAGGTTTTTCCTTTTCTTTTGAGGGGAGGGGTAAACAACAAAGAGTGCTTTTTAATATTCCTGTACTCTCACTGTCTCTCAGCACTGTTAATAATGAAAAGAGATAGATGGCAAAATATGTAGAATGAAAGGATTGAACTGGAAAAGAAGTAATTTCAAATCCTGCCTTAGATACGTAATAATTGTGTGTCCCTGGGAAAGTTGGCTAATACCTATGAGCTTCAGTTTCATCATCTATAAAATAAAGTTCAATTTGATGGCCTTTAAGGTCTCTTCTAGGTCTAAATCTCTGACTTTATAAATGCTGTAAATGAAGAAATTTCAGCTTCCTTTACTGGGGTCCTAACAATATTCATCAATCTTGAGTTTCACCTCTGGCTCATTCTCTGTTTGAGATTATAAGTCAACACAGAAATGGACTAGAGACAGACAACAGAAAAAAAAAAGAATAAAGCAAAGTAGTAGTGGCAGGCTATGATTTATTCTCTTATGTTCTTATTTTACCTGAGTACAGGTTTACCACTAGAAGGACCAGAAATGAATAATGCCTTGAAAGACCAAGTTATGTCAACTGATACAGTGCATTAAAAAAAAATGCATAAGTCAAAGAAAACAGATAATACAACGAAAATTTTTGTTTCAAAGTTGTTTTTTTTTTTTTTTTGGTCATTTGACATACTTGGTCCTTGGTAGTTAGGCTATATTAGTTCTTCTCTGCTAAGTACTCAAATCCACTAGCCCATTCTTCTCCCAAGCTAATCAGCAGTTATTTAATCAAGCTGAAGACATGGTAACACTAAGAAGAGGGTTTTTTAAAGTGTCTTTTTTGTTTGTAAAGATCTGTGATTTCATCAAGATGGGGAACTTATGCTGCAGAAACTCAATGCAAATCAGCAAGTCATGAGTAATTAAAATCTTAAAATGTTATCACTGACACTAAGAAGTTCAAATGACTTGCACATCACCACAAAGCAAGTAGGTATCACTTAAACCAGGTTTTCCTGATTGTAAAGCCCTATATCAATTATGCCACTTGTCAAAAATAACACTAACAATAATAATTATAAACTCAAGAGTATATTGCTGACAAAAACTCTATGAGGTAGGTAGTGAACATTTTATCCCCATTTCACAGATGAGAATACTGACACTTGAAGACACACTGACTTACTCATAAACTCAAAATTAGTAAAAGTGGCAGTCAAGATTAGAACTAGATCTTTTGCAAAGTCCTGCAATCTCTCCATTGGAACATAATTTCACACCTAGAAGGTAGTCTAGAAAGCATGTAAGTCCATATCTTCTCATTTTATATCATCATTTTATAGCTAAAGATATTAAAGTATTCAATTTTTTTCTTGAGGTATTTAAATTATACTGACATAGTAAAAACTAAAGTAGCAAAAAACAAAAAAATTAAAGTAGCCATCAACAAATTTTATGAGTTTACAAATACATTGTACCATGGACATCACAAGAAATAATGTTAATAGAAATGGTTCCTAATGTCTAGCCAACATATATGACCTTATAAAATATAAACAACATATCCAGAAAAGACCTATTTAATTACCAGTCATTACATACCTTGTCTTTCAGTAAAATTTCATAAGTTGTCAAAAGAATATTAAATTTTAACCGTTTGGTTTGCAGATGCATCCATTCATGTGTTCTTATCTACCAATCAAACAAACCAGAAAATGGTCTCAAACAAAATATACTAAATAGCAACAAATTTTGAAAATTACTCATTTCTAATGAGATATATGCCTTATTATAGTTACGCTGAAACAACTTACCATATTTCTGCTGTTAATATCCCCTAAATAGACTACAGCATTCATCTGGGGAGCCCATGTCTGAATCTCTCTTTGCCAGGAAGTGAGTGTGGAAAGTGGTACTACTAACAAGAAAGGCCCATATAATTGGTGTTCGTGGAAAAGATAGTTAAGAAATGAGATCGTCTGTATTGTTTTTCCAAGGCCCATTTCATCAGCAAGTATACAGCTATTTCCTCTACAAAATACAAGAAAAGAAGTGTTTTCCCATATATCAAACACTTATTTAACAAACATTTATTCAGTACCCATTATATACAAGACACTGTGATAAGTGCTGAAAGCAATACAAAAATATCATGGTCCCTTCCAAGAGCTCCCTGTAGACAAGAAAGGAAGACAAAGACAAAAACACTGAATGATGAACCAGAAATGACAAAGAAAGAGGAAAATAGGAGAAAAGAAGAAAAAGGGAAAAGAGAGGGATAAAGGAGAGAAAGTGTTCTTTATCATTTCTCATCCTGCATGCCAAATGATTGAGATTTTTACCATAAAAGAGCCTACATCTGATTTAGAACACTTAGTAGCCTTCTTTTCAAGGATGAACTCTACAAAGGAAAGCATTCTTTTGATCATAAGAGAAAGTATAGGCATGAAAACTGCCTATACTTATTAAATAAAAGTAAAAAAAAAGACTTCTCCCATCAAGTAATCATTACTAAAACAGAAGGATCAGAAAAGATTAATTAACTTATCCGGCTTTCAGGGTTATGTTTCAGAGACAAGTGGCAGCAGAATAACAAGATGGTAGAAGAAATGAGTATGTTATACTGAGAGAAGAAATAGATAAGGAATCATGGGTTCTGAGCCATTGCTTCTAAACAATTAATCAGATTCTTATAAAATTGCAGCCAAGTTATTCAAGGAAAACTAAAAGTGACATACTAGACCAAAGACAGTAAGATATCTATTTGAGTTATACGTATGTAAAGTTTGCTTTTTAAAATGGAGAAATAAGTTTGCAATAGTTAATAGAGAGCTAGACTCTGAGCAAGAGAGATGCGGCTCAAGTCCTGCCCATATATACAGTGTCTATGGGACCCTCACTCAACATTTCATCTTTTCAAGGCTCTAGGTGACTGACTCTCTTAATCTCGTAAGGCTCTAGGTGACTCTCTAAGACATTAAGTTGCAGAACAGCTGCTGATCTGCAGTTGTATGGTTTCCTCATTAGAGTTCACAATTCTAATGAAATTGGAGGCTCAGCCCAAAAAAATACTTATAATGGATTAAATTTACTATTGGTGCACTGGAATAGCAACATTCTTCTTAATCATCAATATGCCCAAATTGGTCTCCCACCTTATAAACTCTAAGTGATCCTGATCTCCTCATCTTCATAGCTCACTGAATTAGACATAAGGAAGTTAGCTAACCCATATCTGACAGCTGATTAAACTAAGATCCAGGTAGGTTAAGGGGCTTGCCCAAGATCAAGCAGGTAAAGAGAGCCATGAACTAGATTGAGGTCCTTTGACTCCAAATATAGACTCTTCACTTCAACACTCTGATATCAAAAAGTTCCTTAAACTGTCTGAATGGGAAGAGAGGGGAGTCTGACAGCTAACTTTGTAAAAAGCAATGGTAAATTTACATGAGTATAATCATGGCAAACCAAAATATGTACCACTGTCAAAAAAAAAAAAAAAAATAAGGTCGAAATATATTGCTCCAGATCAGTGCTCTCCAAAGTCCAAAGTTGAGTGCACGGGGGGGGGGGTAGAGAACAAAAAAGTCCATAAAGAGACAACCAAACAAGCATTTATTAAGAGCTTACAATGTGCCAGGCAATGCACTACGGACAAAAAGAAAGGCAAAAACCATTACTGCCTTTAAGGAGTTTCCATTCTAACAGAGGAGTTATCACCTATATAACAATGCAAGAAAAGACAGAATAATAACAATGCCTAACATTTATTCAGTGCTTTAAGATTTGTACAGTGCTTTACATATATTATCTCATTTGATACATCGATAGAGTAAATGGAGGGTAACCTCCGAGGGGAAAGCACTAGATGCTTATGGTAAAAGGACTCAAGCAGGAGGTGAGATTTCAGCTGTATTTTAAGGTAGCCAAAAATTCTAAGAAGCAGAGATTAAGAAGAAAAGTTTCCAGACTTGAGGGTGAGAGTGGGGCAGGAAACAACCTGTGCAAAGGCACCAAGATGTGACAAACAACAAGTAGGCCTACTGTGGCTGAATCATAGAGAGTATGGAAAGGAATAAAGTGTAAGAAGACTGGAAAGGTAGGAAGGGAAAGGTTTATGAAGAGCATTAAATGCCCAAAAGAGAAATTTATATTTGATCTTGGGTAGACAGGGAGCCACTGTAGTTCACTGATTAAGGGGATTGGAGGGACACATGATTAGACTTGCACTTTTGGAAAACTACTTTGGTATGATTGGGGTGGGAAGATACTTTTAGTAAAGAAGTGCAATTAAAAAACAGTTGCATAAATCCAGGCAAGAAGTTGAGGATGACACTAAGGTTGCAAACATCTATGGATGGTGGTACCCTTGACTGTAGTAAGGAGATTTGAAAGATGGGACAGTTTCAATGGATATAGTGAGTTTGAGACAACTATGAGACACTGAGTTTGAGAAATCCAAAAGGTAGCTGGGTGATGTGGAACTAAGAGTTCAAGAGAAACTAAGGCTGGATATATGGATCTGGGAATCATCTAAAACAGGAGTTCTCAAACTTTTTGGTCTTAGGACTCCCTTTGCACTCTTAAAAATTATTAAGGACCCCAAAGAGCTTTTGTTTATGTGGGTTATTATCTACTAACATTACCATATAAAAATTAAAACTGATAAGTTTTAAATGTATTTTAAATAATATAATATAACAAATAACATCTAAAAATTCAAAATGACTATATTTTCCAAAACAAAAAAAAATTTTTTTTAGTTTGTAAAGTGGAGGAACAAGTAATCAAGTTGAGTAGATTGAGGAACTGGGATGCTAGGATGCATGAGGGAATATCAACTCATATGCTTTAGTCATCCCATAGGTAAGGTGAACTTGAGGTGTAGAGAGAGTCTGAAGGTTCATTAATATGGCAATGGAACACTTGTGAGTAATGATAAGATCTATTATAGTATTATTTCTGTGTGTACTTGAGGAGGTGGGGAAGGACAGGTCATGGCAATGCAGGAAGAAACTATGAGAACCTCTATTTATATTTATTTTTTAACCCAAAAACAAATTAAGCTGCACTAATATTTAATATGCATGTGTCCTAGGAAGTATTCAGAGGGAAGGAGTGGAAATTCTACAACGTGGAGGAGATGATAGAGGCACTTTTTACGTGTTCATTTGCTTTCATTGTATTATAACATATTAAGTTTACATGAATCTGCTTTAAGTGGATTTATGGATTACACTTTCTAACACTAACTAAATAAACTCTTTTAAAAATTATTAAGGCATAAAGTGGCCTAAAAGTTTTCTACAATGAAAGCACAGATTGAATGCGACTACAAATGAAATGAGAAAATGGTAGAGCTGAAACTCTTTACTTATTTTTAGTATGAACTCTTTGTGTGCCATATTACAAAGTAAAAATGATGACAGATCTAACGAGTCAGCCAAAAAAAGTGAAATTATCAAGATTATTTGAAATATAAACATTTGAGTACATGCTACCCTCACTAGAAATACTGATTTTTTTGTTATACCAAAAAGTACTTTTGTACCATTTTTAAATAACTGAAAATATGGCTTGCTTCATCTTTTTAGTCATACTTTTAATTGTCCGTTTTTTTCTGAATTACACTGAATATATCAGTACAATAGGCCATGTATATCATTTATGAAGAAACAAATATACATATGATAGAGGAGTGCTCAAAAATATTTTACTGGTCAGGTAAGTGATCAAAAAAGTTTGGAAACCACTATTCTAGCTTAACTCTGCTCTATATAACCTGTAGTATAAGAAAATAAGTTTTCATTTACGTGCTATAACATTTTAACTTTAAAAAATTCTGAGCATAAAGGGCTATAGAAGGAAATCCTTAATTTGATTTAATGAAAAACAATTTTTTGATTAGCATAAGCACATAAACATATAAAACATACAAAACTGAAGTATTTTCATAGTTCCTTTAAATAACTATTAGTCAATTTTGAAAAAAGCAAATGACTATCAGAAGGAAAAATGGGAAAAGAAAGATATGGCTGAATTCAAGCATGAGGGTAAGAATTAGGTAAGAAAGACAATGGCAACTGAAGAATAGTAAAAAGGGTAAGTGTTGGAGGACTGGTGTAGAAAACTCATAATGGATCAGGGTTGAAGATGTGGTAACTAGATGATAATCAGTTACCTGTTAAAGAGAGAAAAAGCAGAGAAGACTTTAGAAAAAGTAGGGAAGATACAGAGCACCTTGAATTGGGCTGTAAATTGGTGGTGCTATTAGTGGAATTGAGAGAAGAAATAGAGATAAGTATGAAAAGGGTCCCAGGAAAGTAGAGACCCAAAGAGGCAAAGTCCAGTTCAAAGGAATATCCTCTACCTCCAAGTCTATTGCCACTTAAAATTACCTGAAAAATAATTGCTGAAAAGTAATTTCTAAAGGACAGAGCAGGGACATTATGGGGCAATATCTGAGATAATATTTGTAAAGAGCTTAGCACAGTGCCTGGCACATAAAAGGCACTTAATAAATGCTTGTTCCCTTTCTACAATCTGTCCCTTTCCAATAATGGCTTACAGTTATTCCACTGTTCATTGTTAAAAGTAAATCTTTGGAAATCATATTTATATCTGTTCTAAATTCAAAATGTCCTCTATGAATCTGAAAAAGAATATTCTTAGCATACTCACTTGCACCAAGAATGAGCAAGCCAATTTAGACCATTCAACTGATAATCTCTTAATTCTAAACCTTCTGGTCCTCCAATATAGGATGGTTGCTTCTTCAGCGCAACAAACCTTGGCCTTTGTTTTAGTACCTTGGGAGAAATAAGGATTACAGAACTACCAAACATAAGAATCAATACTTAGTTACATTGATAATAATCTTGGATATCACCATAAATTTCCAAACTACCCTATTAACGTCAGTCATCACAGACAAAACTTTAATGATTCCATGACTGCAAAAAATAGTTGATAATACCATTGAAAAAGACTTTATTTAGTCCAAGGTAGAATAGGTAATAGAAAGGTAGAATAATAGAGTGCATTGTCTTTCTTGACAAATACCACAACTGTTAATGAAACATTTGAAGTTCCCCTTGATATTTATCACACATTAAGCAGCTAAAAATCACAAGCAATGGCAATGCCAAGTTCAACTCAATATATATGAACTGTCACTGACCTGATTAAAAACAAAACAAAACAAAACAAGACAAAAATAGCAAGAAAAGTTTGAAAGTAAAGTCATTGCCACTGAAATCTTGGCTTTTCTATCTAACTTGCCAGTTAAGAATTATAATTATCATTTGATTACACTTTCAATAAGAACCGAAATTAAGCTCTCAGTCCTATAGGACAATAAAGAAAACAATAATATGTGGGACAATAAAGTATTGAACAGAAAGGACAATAAAGAAACAAATAAAATAAAATAAATTGCCAATATATACACTCCATGAAGAAATTCTTGTCTTGCATAAGATTTTTTTACTGTCTCCCTCATCAATTTTTTCACTCAACTTTTTGTTCCCTCTTTTCTCATAGCAAATAACCCATTATTTTGTAAGTCAATACCCTTTTATTTATGATATCAATCAAGAACATACATTTATATTTTGAACCTGATTTAAGAAAACTTATTTAGCTTATAATATGTTTAGTTTTCATATATATTTCCACATCATTTCTTTACCCTTTAAAACAGGTCTCATTTTTTGAGGTATGGCATATGTTCAGTTAAATGGCATTTTTATTTCTTATAACAACTTTGCCATCAGTTTTGTCTGCCATTCCTGAATGGTCCAACTTTCTCCAACCACACACTCATCACATCTAACTCTACTCATTTGTTCTACCTAATTTCCCCAACTGTAAGACCCCTTATTCGCATTAGCAACCTGCAGAACTATCAAGCCACAAATATACCCAAGTTGCATATCTAAAACCTGGGCTAATCAACCAACAAAACCTTTTTATTACTGTTTCCAGGTTTTGGGCCTCAGAAATGTAATTATAATTATTACTTAAGTATATTAGAAAATTTCAATTATACTTACTTTGCAATCTTTAAAAGGAGTGGTTTTGGATTGATTCCTGCTGAAATATTCATCAATGCGTGGCTGAAACTTTTTGGAAATAAGAGCCCCATCTTCCCAGCTACACTCTGAATATGGGAGGCCCTGCCATTTGCAATAATAATCAGGATACCCAGCTGCTGATTTTTGATTGGAATGAGCTGTAAAATATAGACACTATGTTAGTTTTTATATTTATGTTTCCTCTTAGCAGAACCATAAATCAAAAAATAGAATTATTTATGGAGATGACAACTTCTCATTGAAAATTAGCAAAGCATAAAGAGGAGACATGTAAATGTAATGAAAATAATATGATTACTGACCGATTATTCTCTCTACTATTTGATACTGCTTATGTAGATCATCTGTAAGTTCTTGCTGACAATTATAATACTCCACATCTTCTGGAGAAGCATTTTTCAACCTAAGAAACAAACAATATTTCACATTTCATTTGGCAGTTTAATAATTTTTCTTCTTAGTGAATTCTTAAGACATGCTATATTAGCAATAAGAAATGGTATAGAAAAAAAAGCTGGGAAGAGCAGCAAGACTAAACAAAGTATAAACAGGTTCATGAAGGAAGCAATACAATTTTCAAGGCTTTCTCAAAATATCAAAAAGGGGAGGATACTGAAAGCATGACAAAAATGTGAAAATTTATAATTTTTCTTAAAAAGGAACCTTGGCAAAGATGGCAGAGTAAAAAAAAGGACTTAGCCAAGCTCTCCCAACATTCCCCTAGAAACAACTTTAAAATAATGCCTTAAATTGAATTCTAGAGTGGCAGTGCAAGCAAAAGATCTGAGTGAGACATCCTTCTAGACCAAGACAACATAGGAAGCTGGAAAGAGAGCTCTGTGAAACAGAAGAGGAGGTTGGCCTGGAGCCCATGTGAATGAAATAACCAGTGGTGGGACTGGGTGGTAGTGACAGAAGCAACAGCAGCTTTGGGAGATCTCAAGCCAGAGATGGTAAGGAAGCCTGGCAACTGGTCAGAGAGATTACAGGGTGCCTCGGTGCTAGAGGTGAATGCAGGACAAAATACTGTTTGGCAAACCCAATGCCAATACCCTCTTCTGGGTCATAATAGTTCAAGGGGAGTGAAGAGCACTTTCAGCCAAGAGGGTGTGGGTACCCTGAGGGGCAACTGTGTGGCAACTTTATTGTTTCTATCCACTGCTAAGACATAGGTCAAAGGTGAAAAGGAGTAGAGATCCTGAGGGCCAATCAAACTTCTAGTACCAAGGGAGGTGGGTCCTGAGGAGCAGTTATCAATTGCCATCCTAAGTAATCAAGACACTTTCCTGGATAAGGACCAGAGTGCAGACCAATAGGGCAGTAACCACACCTCTCCCCAGATTACACTACTTTGGAAGCAAGGAAAACTTGGAAACCCCTGAAGTTATCACTGAAAATTATAGCGTGGAAAAAGCCTAAAGCTTAAGAAGGAGTCTCTCCCTGCCCTTCCATACCTGAAACAAAGTACAGCATTAGCATAAAGTTGCAAATCAAGAAATAGTGGATTAAAAATAAGCAAACAACAAAAAAAGAACCTGACCATAAAGAGTTATTATGGTGACAGGGAAGATCAACTCAGAAGACAATAAAGTCAAAAGAGCTATGAGCAAAGAAGCTTCTGAGAGGAAAAACAAAACTGAATAAGCCAAAAAAGAAGATACGAAGACACACACACACACACACACACACACACACACTTCAAAATCAGAAAAGAGTGATAGAGGAAAAATTAGGTAAAGAAATGAAAGCAAAGGAAGAAAATTAAGAGAAACTGGAGAGATGATAAAAAGGAGGGCACATAAAAGAAGGCAATGGTCAAAAGCAAAGCAGACGTTAGAGGAGGGACTGGATAAAAAGAGAGAGAATGATAAAAAGAAGAAAATTAGATGAGGGAAATGCAGTTAGTAATCAAAACCATGAATGTGAATAGGAAGAATTTACCCATAAAATGGAAACAGACTGCAGAACAGATTGGAAAGAAAAATCCAACAATATTTTATTATTATTATTATTATTATTATTATTATTATTATTTTGTTTTTTGGTGAGGTAATCGGGGTTAAGTGACTTGCCCAGGGTCACACAGCTAGTAAGTGTCAAGTGTCTGAGGCTGGATTTGAACTCAGGTCCTTCTGACTCCAATGCTGGAGCTCTACCCACTGCGCCACCTAGCTGCCCCAATATTTTGTTTATAAGAAACACACAAAAAGACACAAAATCTATTATGTTTCAGCTGAAGTAAAAAAAAAAATAGGGATATAGCAATAACGATCTCAGATAAAGTAAAAGCAGGAATAGATTTAGTTAAAAGAAATAAATAGGCAAACTACATCTTACTAAAAGAAACTAAGACAATGAAGTAATATCAATACTAAACATATATGCACCAAATGGCATAGAATCCAGATTCTCAGAAGAAAAATTAAATGAATTACAAGAGGAAACAGATAGTGAAACTATACTAGTAGAGGACCTCAATTTTTCCCTTTCAGACATAGATAAATCTAAAATAAAATAAATAAGAAAGAAGTCAAGGAGATGAATAGAATCTTAGAAAAGGCAGATACGATAAACATCTAGAGAAAACTGAATATATCTTTTTCTCAGCTGTACATGGCACCTTCACAAAAAATTGACTTTGTATTAGGGCATAAAAACCTTACAACTAAATGCAGAAAAGAAATATTGAATGCATCTTTTTCAGATCATAATATAATAAAATTAAATTCAATACAAGGTTGTGGAAACAGATCAAAAATAACTGGAAACTAAATAATCTAATCCTAAGGTATGAGTAGAAAAAAACAACATATCATAAAAACAAGCAATAATTTAATCAAAGAGAATGACAGTAAGACAACATTCCAAAATTTTTGGGATGCAAAGCAGTACTTAGGAGAAAATTTATATCTCTAAATGCAGACATCAATAAAAGAAAGAAAGAGCAGATCAATGAACTGGCCATGTAATTAAAAAGAACTGGAAAAAGAACAAAATAAAAATACCCAATTAAACACTAAAATGGAAATCCTGTAAATCAAATTAAAAATTAATAAAAGTAAAAAAAACAACAAATTTTGAACTAATAAAGAAAACAGGAGCTAGTTTTTGTTAAAAAAAATAGACAAACCATTGCTGAATTTGATTAAAAAAAAAGAAAGAAAATCAAATTACCAGTATCAAAAATGAAAAGAGTAAATGCATCTCCAATGAAGATGAAACTAAAGCAATTACTAGGAGTGCTTTTGCCCAATTATATGTCAGCTAAACTGACAATCTATGTGAAATGTATGGGTATTTACAAAAATATAAACTGCCCAGATTAAAAGAAGAGGAAACAGAAGATTTAAATAACATTATCTTAGAAAAAGAAATTGAACAAGCCATCAATGAACTCCCTAAAAAAAAAAAATCCCAATACCATATAAATTACTCTAAAAAATAGCTAAAGAAGGAGTCCTACAAAATTCTTTTATATAGCTTTGGGACCAAAATCAGGGAGAGCAAAAACAGGGAAAGAAAATTATAGGCCAATTTCCTTAGCGAAAATCAGTGCAAAAAATTTAAATAAAATACTAGCAATGGAGATTACAGCAACATACCACAAAGATCATACACTATGACCAGGTGGGATTTATACCAGGAATGCAATGCTGCTTCAATATTAGGAAAACTATCTGCATAAATAACCACATGAAAAAACAAAACCATCAAAAATCATATGATTATCTCAATAGATGCAGAAAAAGCTTTTGACAAAATACATTCATACTTATTAAAAACACTAGAAAGCATAAGAAAAAACAGGGCTTTCCTTAAAATGTTAAGTAGTATCCATCTAAAACCATCAGCAAGCATTATCTGTAATGCAGATAAGCTGAAAATAAGATCAGGAATGAAGTTTATTTCAAAAAAGAATTTTAAGGAATTAGAATGGGCCACGAGGAAACAAAACTCACTATTTGCAGATGCTATGATGGTATAATTAGAGAACCCTAAAGAATAAACTAAAAAAACTAGTTGAAATAATTAACAGTTTCAACAAAGTTGCAGGTTATAAATTAAACTCTGATAAATTAGCATTTCTATATATTATCAACAAAGTCCAGCAAGAAGATATTGAAGGAGAAATTACATTTACAATTACTGCAAACAACATAAAGTACTTGGAAGTCTGCCTGCCAAGCCAAACATAGGAACTACATGAACACAATTACAAAATACTTATCACTCAAATAAAGATAGATCTAAACAACTAAAGAAATATTGATCATGGGTAGGCTAAGCTAAGATAATAAAAATGGCAATTCTACCTAAATTAGTTTACTTATAATTCAGTGCCATACCAATCAAATTACCCAAAAATTATTTTATAGAGCTAGAAAAAAATAACAAAATTCACCTGGAAGAACAAAAGGTCAAGAATATCAAGGAAATCAATGAAAAAAAAAAAAAACCCAAAGAAAAAAAAACAACCAAACCTGAAGGAAGGTGGCTTAGCAGTATCAGATCTCAAACTGTATTACAAAGCAACAATCATTCAAAACAATGTGGAACTGGCTAAGAAATAGTGACAGATCAGTGGAATAGGTACACAATTCACAGCAGTAAATGACCACAGTAATCTAGTGTTTGACAAACCCAAAGATCCAAGATTTGGGGACAAAAAAATCATTATTTGACAAAAACTGCTGGGAAAACTAGAAAGCAGTTAGGCAGAAAGTAAATACAGATCAACATCTCATACCATATACTAAAGTAAGGTAAAAATGGTATGTGATTTAGACATCAAAGGTGTATCTAAGCAAATTAGGGGAGCATGAAATATTTTGTCAGATTTATATATAAGGGAAGAATTGAGAACCAAATAAGAAATAGAGAGCATTACAAGACATAAAAATGGGTAATTTTGATTACATCAAATTAAAAACGTTTTGCACACACAAAGCCAATGCAACCATGAGTATAAGGAAAGCAGGAAACTGGGGGGGGGGGGATTTTACAGCAAGACCTCATTTTTCAAATATATAAAGAACTGAGTACATTATTCCCCTAATGATAAATGATCAAAGGATATGAATAGGCAGTTTTCAGAAGAAGAAATCAAAGTTACCTATAAGTCATATTAAAAATGCTCTAAATCACTACTAATTAAAGAAATGCCCATTAAAGCAAGTCTGAAGTACTACCAAATACATAACAGATTGGCTAATATGATAGAAAAGGAAAATGACAAATGTTCAAAGGGATGTAGAAAAATTGGGACACCAATGCACTGTTGTGCATTGTGAAGTGTGATCTAATCATTCTGGAGAGCAATGTGGAACTATGCCAAAAGTACTATATAACTGTGCATACCCTTTGACCCAGCAATAATACTAATAGGTCTGTACCCCAAAGAGA